TGGGGGCACCATCACCACCAGAATGGCTGCTCTGACAATATGCTTGGGAACTTTCCCATGGCTTTTTTACCAAGGAGGCTGGACACCCTATAAAACCTCCTGTAGTCACACCTCTGAAGCATGATTTACACCTCAGTATTATGCACACTGGAAGGCTTTTCACTTCACATTTCCAAGCGGAAAGATTAGTATTAAGGAAGTGCCTAATTTACCCAGTCCAAGAGATTTAAAGATTGTCCTCAGTGTCTTGAAGTTTTGCACAAAATTCTCTATGAATTTTATACTTGGCAGATGCTTATGCTGGAAGCCATAGTCAGCTCCTAATACAGGTCCAAAGCACTGAATGTATTGTAGCATGAGCTGCTGATGACATTGGCTTCCTAGCTCCTTCTGTAGACTATTGCTAATCCCTCAGAAACAAGGGGTCTGACATTGGTGGCACAACCTGAGGTGGCATTATAGTTCTTTGAGCAAGCCAGAGCAACTTCTCTGCCAAAGTCAGCTTAGTTTAGACCTCAGTGAATCAAGCTGTTGCCATCCTAACATCTGTCTGTGTGGGTCTATTCATTCATATACCAGCACTTGGCTGACTTTCTCTAACTCATTGCTTGTTGCTTGCTTGCTTCCTTGCTTAAGAAGTCTACCCAAGATGTGCAAGCTATTCTTTAGGAAGGGAATTGCTAAAGAATACCACTGCAAAGGGATGGGGGAGGGGTGGGAAACAGGGAAGTGGCCAGGCTGGATGGCTCAAGTATAAATGAACTTGGCCCTTGGGAACAGCCTTTTTACTATAAACTGTTTATGTTTGGTTCCCAGCCATGCCCAAACATCTCACTCTTTAAGTCCTTTACCAGTCTAAAGCTATGTTTTCTGTGGTGAATTAAAGAAGAGGCTGAGTTGCTATCTGAAAATGTGGATTAGGAGAAGTTTGTTCCAGTTTCTTCTCTCTGCAGCCCAGATCCACGGTAGCCTCATGTACCAAAGAAATGATCTAAACTTAACAGGAGACAAATGCATATGTCTCTAGCTATAGAATTTTAGAATCCAGGAGCAGAAAGGGAGATGTTTTATCTTCCAAGGGGTCCTTTCCCTGAAATCACCTCCTTTGCCACTTTTGATGAACAAGGACTCCCAGATGGCCTTTAATTAGGGGACACCCTTGAATTTTCAAATGACAGAGGGTTTTGTTAAGCTAAATTGGCTTGTCCAGTTTCCTGTGAGTTCTTCTTGGAGAAGTTCTGGTGTAAAATTAAATGTCAAGAAACCAAGTGCTCCCTCATTCCACTTGCAGGTGCTGTGAGGTTACTTTGGATCCATCACCAGAGGTCTGCAGACAGATGACACTTTTTCCTTTGAAAATTTAAAATATCTCATGGCGCTCTTAAGAGTTTCCTGCAGTGCCCTGGGGCGCCTCAGCACATTTGGGAACCACGGGTATATAGCCTTCCCCCTTGTTTTTCCTGTGCGTGTGTGTAAATACACATATACGCTCATAGATTTTTTTTGAGATCATACCTTACACAGTTTTATAAACTGCTTAAGAAAACACTGGTGGTAAAGCATGTATGTTTTTCCATGTCATTAAATATTCTTCTATAATACTAATTTTAATACTATATTCTGTCCTATGGCTATACCAGGATTCATTAAAATAAGCCCCTATTGTTGGACATTTAGGATGTTTATACTTATTTTTCCTGTTGTAAACAGTGCTTTGATAACCATCCTAGTGAATAAATCTTTGCATACACTCTGATTATTGGCTTGGGGTAAATTCCTAGATGTAGATTTACTGAATCAAAGGGCATGAGTATCTTAGAGTTTTGATAATTGCCCTCCAGAAAGGGTGTGACAATCTATATTTCCTCTAGTCTCATATGTGAGTATATAGTATAGTCTTTTCATTTGATGGTAAGAGTCTTAGTATAAGTGATTGTGAATATAGATTCAGAAATTCCGGTATTTCAGGCACTGTACTGGACACTGTCTCACACACACACACACACACATATATATTTAATATTATTTACATAATATCGTATTAAGTCTTCTTAACAACCTTGTAAAGTTGAAATTATTACCCTTATATTATAGGTAAAGAAAATAGGCCTCAGAAAGATAAAATAACTTTTTCCAAATCACAAAGCCAGTAGATTGTAGAGCTGGGATTTAAATCCAGTTAGACCTATGATCTTATCACTGTATCACAGATGTCTCAGGGACTTGATTGCATAACAATGACAACAGTAATGTCTAATACTTATTAAGTGCTTATCATGCATCAGGCACTGTTTGCATGTATTAACACATTCAATCCTCCTGCTAAACCTATGAGATAGCTACTGTTATCTCTGAGGCACTGAAACCAGTAACTTGTCCAGGGTCACACAGATAGCAAGTGGCAGAGCTAGGATCCCAACCCAGGCAGTTTGGCTTCACAGTCCATGCCTTAAAGACTAAGGCACAGCGTGATAGCCTGCAGAGTTGTGGAAGATTGTATGTAAGAATCTCATTAGAAATGCTTTTTTTAAAGGAAAGAAAAAATGGCTTAACTAAGTCTCTTAGATGAACGAAGGACAGTTGCTGTGTAACAAAATGTCTAGCCAGCAATTTGGCTGCAAATTTCCTATCACTATACCTGAAGTCTTTCTTCTTGCAGCAATATACAGCCCTTGTAAGCTTAATGCATAGAACTGTGTTGTATTCTGAGGGATAACCTGGATAGAAAATCTTCTAATGAACTTAGTGACCCCAACTCAATTGAACAAATGAAATAATTAAAAATTTCCCCAAGTTACTTGGTATTTCTTTCTGCATTATCATTTGAGGGGCACAGTTTCCAAAATCTACGTAAATAAGTATGATCTAGAGTCCTCTCTTGTTGATGTTTGTTGGGTAAATGAAGCACCCTCATTCCTATTCATTATTTTAAGCCTTTTCCTATAGTCTTTCTTTGGTGGTGGCTGTTACTTGCTGTCGAGTTGATTCCGACTCATGGCAACCCCGTGTGTGCAGAGTAGAACTGCTCCATAGGGTTTTCAAGACTGTGACCTTTCGGAAGCAGATTGCTAGGCCTGCCCTTTGAGGTGCCTCTGGGTAGGTCTGAACTGCCAGCGTTTTGGCTAGTAGTCGAGTGTGTCTGTTTGTGCCACCCAGGGACTAGTTAGCCATTATTAAAAATTATGCAGATTATGACAAATGGTTATATTTTTATATCATTCTTGTAAGAGTTCTAAATTCTCCTCCCCTCCCCCCCTAAAAAACCTCAACTTAATGAGCCACAAAACATGAATCGGAAAAATATTTTTAGCATTTTTATGCAGAAAATGCCTCATTAAAAGCAGATACTTCAGCAAGCTGATTTGAGCTTAATAAGAACTTGTACTGAGTAGGGGCCTTGGTGACAAATCACTAGCATGTACAACTGCTCTATATAAAGAACTAGAAAGTCTTAAGAGGCTGTGACCTCTTTCTTATCCTTGAGCTGCCACATTGCAGCTGTGTAGTGATTGCAACGTGGTAGTTAGTATACACTTGGTGATCAGTAAAGGACATGGTACCTACCATCCAGTTGCAAGTAGAAAAAATGTCAATATATTATCCAATATCGCTCAGTGCTTGATCTGGATATGTTATGTGGATTCATTTAGATGAATTCTTTTGTTTTTAGCTGGATGTTTGGCAACATGTGACCCAAATAGTCTTCACATATTTTGCATATGTCAAAGCCATAAGGGTGGAGGGTTTGTCATCATACATACCAATTCAATTTCAAATGAAAACCTCAGCTTGTATTCGCACTGTTGTAACTTCTTTAGACTTAGGGCCTCAAGCCAGAAAGGCAACCGAGCAGGAGTGCAGACATTCAGGAAGGCAGTGTGGGCTGACTTGGTCACAGAAACCACAGCCCCTCCCTTCAACAGTGCCCTACTCACATGCGCTAAGTGCTCACTGTCCCCACTGAGGCCCCAGAATGCAATCCTGGGCTGATGGGTTTGCAGGAGTTCCCAGCTGGGCTCAGCTTTCTCCCATGTGATCCATACTTGGGGACCCTGGCAAAGTTACAGCCACACCCACCCAGGCAAGGCTGAAACCACCAGTGGTTATGACACCACTGTGGCACTAAGTTACCCTGCAGAAGTAACCTCCTTTATAGAATGGGAAAGTCTGAAATGATGAGATGATTCTTCTTCAAATGGAATTTTCTTACATCATTTAAATTCTTTCACAACTGCCTTGAAGAGATTTCCCAGCTCACCCACACCGAGTCAGCCACCTCTGTCACTTGAGTAGTAATAAGAATAGTGCTCATAGTAGTTAACATTTATTGAGGTTAACCACTGCGCTACCAGGGCTCCTTCGTTTTGGGTTTTTTTTTTTTTTTTTTGGGTATCCTGTACTAAGCTCTTTACCTGCTTTTGAGTTAATCCTCAAACTCTTTAAGTTAGGTATTATTATTATCCCCATATTACAAATGAGGGAACTGAGGGCAAAAAAGGTTAAGGTCGGCAGTTCAAACCGACCAGCCGCTCTGTGGGAGAAAGGTGTGGCAGTCTGCTTCCATAAAGATTACAGCCTTGGAAGCCCAATGGGGCAGTTCTACTCTGTCCTATAGGGTCACTATGAGTCAGAATTGACTCGATGGCAACGGGTAACCTACTCTAAATCTTTCAGCTTGTACGTAGAAGAGCTAGGATTTGAAGCTAGATTTTTTTGTTCTGATTTTAGAGTCCTTAATTTTTACTGCTTTACTGCATTGTGCAATCAGTTAACTAAAAAATGTATCAGCATCCCCATTCTATTCCAGAAAAAGAGGCATTCCTTTCAGGAATGAAAAGGGAAAAACTAAGCTTGTTCCCAGATGACCATGATGTGGTCTCTCAGCTGACCCAGCCTCCCTCACTGGGAGGAGGGAAGCTGACTCCCAATACAAACTCATGTGATGGGGGCAAGAGTTCCTGACAAGTGAATACAGGGCTGCAGCTGGCCACTGAGCTTACCGTTAGGAAGTGACGCTCCTTCGCTTCGCGCCTCCTCTGGCTGTGAGCTGGTGGGTAGGCCGGCAGTGGAGGCGCAGCCACAGAAAGCGGAGCAGCGGCTCTCTGCTCTCGGCGATCGCTCCGGCTCCGGTGTTCTGGCGGGGCAAAAAAAAGTAGTGAGACTGAAATACACTTGTCGTTTTCAATTTTTCTTTCCCCCTGGGGAATATTAGCAAAAGGTTGTAAAAAAGTGAGTTTTAGCTAATCTAGCTAATTTGTATACCAAAAAATGTTTTCAGAATGATTCCTAACAACTGTAACTTAATATTAAGTTGGACAAATACATTTCAGTGGGTTTACCTCATAATCTTTGTATAAGATGGCTCACTTCTGAGTTTCAGAAGAAGTCTATTTCTTAGCGTGCCTCATTTCAAAACAACATGAGCAAAAGAAAGAAAGAAGAAAGGAACAAAGAAAGAACATAAGAAAGAAAGAGAAAGGAAGAAAGAACAAAACATTCCAAAACAACTGGTGGAAGATGTGCTGACGTCAGTGCTGGAGCAGAAAGCAGGTCCAGCCTCTCCAGAGCCATCCAGAGAAGCCTGAGATCAAGGTCCGCAGCCATCCAGTGGGGTGCTGGAGTCAGCTCACACTGGCTCCAGAGAGCTGATTGCTATGTATTCAAGAATTTTGTAAGCCAGTTGTTAAAGTGTTGGTAGCTTGAAATCCGCCATAGTGGGAGTATTTATATCACAGCAATTGGCAAATGCAACACATCAGGGCTTTTATTTATTTTTATAATTTATTTTTTTCCAGAGAGCTGGTTGATCCACACACCACTGCAACTATCTAAGCTCTGTCACCCATGAAACTCTGAGGACTTTGAAATTCTGGGCTCCTAGAGCAAGTAAAGTCATCCCAACGATAGTAGCTGTCTGATTTAGGAACAAAGCTACCATCGGAGAAGAGCTAAGAAATATCCACATGTGGGATGAAGTGGCCCTGACTTCCTAACAAGGATCACTGAGACCCCAAGAACACAATTTGGCATTTTGGGCATCTCAGTGAGCCCCAAAGTACACCCTGCTGAACACACTGGCCACACCAAAGGCCACTTTACCTGCCAAAATCCAGCCCACGCTCATGCCGAGGGCCTGAAATCTCTAGCGACACCCTCATGAGCACGGTACAAATTTGTGCAGCAGATTTGCAAATCTGTCCTTCTGTTATTTAAAATCCCTGTTACTCAGTATAGAAACCCTGGTGGCACAGTAGTTAAGAGCTACAGCTGCTAACCAAAAGGTTGGCAGTTCAAATCCACCAGCCACTCCTTGGAAACCCTATGGGGCAGTTCTACTCTGTCCTGTAGGGTCGCTATGAGTTGGAATTGACTCGACAGCAACGGGTTTGGTTTTTATTACTCAGTACATCTGCAGTAATCATCATAAGGCTCCATATGTATTGAGCAATTGGGATGTGCCAGAGACACTTCGCTAAAAATGTGAAGTGTGTCAACAAGCCCACGAAGTAGGCACTGATGCTGCCTCTCTTTGCAGATGCCTAAACAGGCTCAGGGGTAGTGAGTAACTTGCCAAGCCATCAGTGGCACAGACTTGTCTGCAGTGTCATGCTCTTACCACTGCTTCTGCCTCAAGGCACTGTAAGTGCCTGACACACCTTCTCATTCATCTGAACAAGACTGCCTTGGGTCGGATAGTATTTGATTATAGTTATATGTTTGTGCTATGCTGTTCTAAGAAAAAAAAATCCCATTGCCATCGAGTTGATTCTAACTCATAGTGACCCTATAGGACAGAGTAGGAAACCCTGGTTTCCAAGGAGCACCTGGTGGGTTCGAACTGCTGACCTTTTGGTTAGCAGCTGAGCTCTTAACCACTGTGCCACCAGGACTCCATGTCGTTGCTAGGTGCCGTCAAGTCAGTTCTGACTCATAGTGACCCTATTTACAACAGAACAAACGCTACCCGGTTTCGCGCCATCCTCGCAATCATTGCTATGTTTGAGCCCATTATTGCAGCCGCTGTGTCAGTCCATCTCGTTGAGAGTCTTCTTCGTTTTTGCTGACTCTCTGCTTTACCAAGCATGATGTCCTTCTCCAGGGACTGGTCCCTCCTGATAACATGCCCAAGGTATGTGAGACAAAGTCTTGCCATCCTTGCTTCTAATAGGCATTCTGGCTGTACTTCTTCCAAGACAGATTTGTTCATTCTTCTGGCAGTCCACGGTATATTCAATATTCTTTGCCAACACCGTAATGCATAGGCATCGATTCTTCTTCCAAGGTCCTATTGCTTGTTCTCGACTGGCCTCCCCAATGCCAACCCCTTTCCTCTTTGCTTTATTTAGTGTGCTGTCTCCTGAACTATAACCAAGCACTCTTGAGCTTCCCGATTATTCTCCATGTCTGATTTGACTGTCTGTGGGCCTCACTGCCTGACCTTTGCTGACTTGTTGAGACAAATGTCTTCCTTGTCAAAGTGCCATCCTGTGGTCTATGCCCAGGGCTGCCCTCATTTTACTCTACAAGCAAACCGTGGGCTTTTCTAAATGGGCAGGGCAAGTAAAAGCTTTTGTATTCTGAAATGCATAAAGAAGAGTAGTATACAAGTGCCATTGGTTAGGATGAGGTGGAAGGAAGGGAGGAGTCATAAGGGAGACATCAGTTCAGTTTTCTGTTCAATTGCTTCCCTCCCACACTTTCTCAGATATATTTCCCTCATCTGTGCTAGGCTAGGGGTAGGCAGGCTAGGTTAATAGAATATATATATTTTATGCTGGTGGGATGGGTGGAACATTGGTTTACTAGAATCTGAAACTGCAGTAGTATCTTGGTCCATATTTCATTGGACCAAGTAAACTTAAATTCCAGCCCTGAAACTTGAAAAGGAAGGAAATATAAAATATAACTCTTTTCAGTCACTTATTAATTTCTCTCTCCCTGTCTTACAAACATACATGAACGATGGCCACGTGTAAAGGCATTATTGGCTCTAAGCACTAAAGAATTGCTAAGGAAAAGGGAAAAAGAATAAAAGAAATCAAATTCTAAATAGCTTGAAATCCATTTCAGTGCTACTTCCTCCAGGGAGCCTTCCCTGAAGTTCCATGCCATGTTTAGGTACCTTTCCTCTGTGCTCCCATATCACTGTGTTGAAATTACCTGGTTACTTGTCTACCTCCCTCACTAGACCAGGAATTCCTTGTGGGCAGGGACTAGATTTGATTGCTGTTTGAATTATGGGTCTAGGCTGGCCCTCAGTACCGTTTGTTGAGGGGTGTGCTATTGAGCAGATCTTGAAGATAACCAATTTCTAGGGACTAATCTCTCAGTCCTCTGACTCCTTCCTTGGAGCCTCCTCTCCGAAAGGAGCACAGAGCTGCTGCCACCTCAGCCTCACGTGTCTGTGCTTCATTATCCTTCCTCTTGGTGGAAGCTGGCATTTCCCAGCTGTCCAAATAGACTGCACACAGGGACGCTTACTGTGGCATTTGCTGAGCAAGGCAGTTGGATGATAAGCCAAACCCATTGCCGTCGAGTCGATTCTGACTCATAGCAACCCTGTAGGACAGAGTAGAACTGCCTCATAGGGTTTCCAAGGCTGTAATCTTTATGGGAGCAGACTGCTACATCTGGTGGGTTTGAACCACTGACCTTTCGGTTAGCAGCTGAGCTCTTAACCACTGCGCCACTAGGGCTCCTTAAAAAAAAAAAATTTCCGTCGAGTCCGACTCATAGCAACCCTATAGGATGGAGTAGAACTGCCCCATAGAGTTTCCAAGGAGCGCCTGGTGGATTTGAACTGCCAACTTTTTGGTTAGCAGATGTAGCTCGTAACCACTACACCACCAGAGTTTCCAGGGCTCGCTAGGTAAACAATAAAAAACCCATTGCCATTGAGTCGATTCTGACTCATAGTGACCCTACAGGACAGAGTAGAACTGCCCCATAGGGTTTCCAAGGAGCAGCTGGTGGATGTGAACTGCCAACCTTTTGGTTATCAGCCGAGCTCTTAACCACTGTGCCACCAGGGCTCCAGTTGAATGATAAAAAAAAACAAACCAAACCCATTGCCACTGAGTCGATTCCAACTCATAGCGACCCTATAGGACAGAGTAGAACTGCCCCACAGGATTTCCAAGGTGCACCTGATAGATTTGAACTGCTGACTTTTGGGTTAGCAGCCGTAGCTCTTAACCACCACTACACCACCAGGGTTTCCATAGTTCAATGATAGGCCGGTGTTATTCATGGCCACCAGATGGCAGAAGTGGATTATTCTGACAAATACGCTGCCTAAACTACTATGTTCTTGGACAAGGTTAAAAAAAAAAGTCACTTTCTAATTTTAATTCTACAGTGCATGTTTTTAATTCTGTGATGCCTGTAATTCCTGTTTATGGCTCTCTGCAGTGCTATTAAAACTACTACACCCAAGATTTGCTATTGAGCCAACCACAAGCAAGTTAGTCTGTGGAGGGCAAGGCTCAACTCTGCTGCCTTCCTGCCAAACCCCAGGAGGCCCCGTGTCCCTCTTTCAGCCCCAGGAGGAAGTTCAAGGAAAATTGATATTGGTACTTGCTGTTCTTCAGTTCTGCCATTAAGTCCAAACCTGACAAAGCAGTGAAATGTGATAGCTTATGAGCAGCTTAGTGTTATCTGGTTGACTCTCTCAAAATCTAATCAGAGATGACTTCTTAATAATAATAAAGGGATAAAAATAATTATGTCTAAAGGGCTAACATTGCTCAAGCTCTCTAATGATGGGATAAGACAAAGCATTTAGTGAGAATTATCAGATTCCTCTGTAGTCATCCCGTTCCCTCAGTGCTTAACCAGTTTTCTGCAGTATTTGCTTCAGTTCCACAAACATTCATTGAGGACCTACTATGCGTCAGGTTCATGCTAAGTGTTTTGAAAAAAAAAGTAATAAGATATAATCCTTACCCTTGAGTTGCTCCTGGATTAATGGTGGAAGACAGTCCCTTAAGTGGTTAGTAATAAGAACACCCAGAAAATTATGGGAAGGGCACCTGATCAGATTGTAGAGGAAAGGGGAAAGTGTTAAGGAGGAATTTCAAGAAGGAGGTTTACACTAGCAGTTTGTTAAAGAAGAACTCTGTAGCCAACTCTAAAACTGAAGGGACTAACAAATATGCTAATGAGCCCTGGTGGCTTAGTGGTTAAAGTGTTTGGCTGCTAACCGAAAGGTTGGCGGTTCGAACCCACCAGCCCCTTTGAGGGAGAAAGATGTGTCAGTCTGTTTCTGTAAAGATTATAGCCTTGGAAACCCTATCAGGCAGTTCTACTCTGTCCTGTAGGGTTGCTATGAGTCAGAATCAACTGGACGGCAAGACGTTTGGTTTTTGGTTTTAATAAGTGTGCCAGAGATACTTCTAGGGGGCTACTGATCATAATGTTTCATTTTCATAATATCACAGTGTCTGCCATTAATAACCAAGGAAAATGCTTTAGAAACAGTTGCTTAAGTGTTATTAGTAGGTTAGCTCTTTCATTAAAAGGGAAAAAGACTAGCCATAGGGGAAAAGGCAGAAGTCATACATATGTAGAAGAAAATAAAATGAAAACAACATTTATCATTTTGTTTCTCCATCTTGATAATGACATTCAAATATTTTATTTGAATTTCAATACTTTTGCAAAATATCACTTCTTAAAAGAGTTTAGGAATTTTGGAACAAAGACATGGAATATGCAGGCACCATCTGTCTCCGTAGCAAAAACCTAAAGGCCAAGAAACCTGGCATGTCAACTTCTCATACCCAATTCAGGGGGCTCTAAAAAGACGATGCTAATTTTTAATCCCCTTGTCCTAATTAGCCAAGGACAGAAGCCATCCTACAATGCACAGGATGATCTTGAACAATGAAGTGTCCCAGGTCCCACATAATATTCAAATGTCCCATCAGACATTCATGTAGGGGAAAAGCCTAGAACTTTTTTTTTATTTAGTATTTTGTTATTTTATTTAATTACATTGTTACTAGGAGAGGGATGCATATATTCAAAAGTCCCTTCAGAAGTTAAAGAAAATCTAAAGCACAATTTTTTAAAAAGTCTTGTGATGCTGCATATTTATTCAAAAAGAAAGAAAAATGCTCTTGATTTAGAGATGCTGGTTAGCTGATTATCCTCCATCTTCTCTGAACTATTGATTCCACACTTCTTCCCCCCCCTGCCTTTTTAAAAAATTTTTCCCATACAAAAATTTATACATACATTGTTATGTGACTCTCATTGCTCTCCCCATACTGTGACAGCACACTCCTCCTTTCGACTCCTGATTCCCCATGTCCATTCAACGAGCTCTTAACCCTCACTGCCTTCCCATCTCACCTCTGGACAGAAGCTACCCGTTTAGTCTCTTGTATCTACTTGAGCTAAGAGGTACAACTTCACAAGTATCACTTTATGTCCCACAGTCCAGTCTAATCTCTGTCTGAAGAGTTGGCCTGGGAAATTGTTTTAGTTCTGGGCTGATAAAGAATCCAGGGGCCATGCTTTCCGGGATTCCTCCAGTCTCAGTCAGACCATTAAGTCTGGTCTTCTTCCTAGAATTTGAGTTCTGCACCCCATCTTTCTCCTGCTCCATCTGGGGCTCTCTGTTGTGTTCCCTGTCAGGGCAGTCATTCATTGGTGGTAGCCGGGCACCATCTACTTCTTCTGGTCTCAGGCTGATGAAGTCTCTGGTTTATGTGGCCCTTTCTGTCTCTTGGGCTAATACTTTCCTTGTGTCTTTGGTGTTCTTCATTCTCCTTTACTCCAGGTGGTTGGGACCAATTGATGCATCTTAGATGGCTACTTGCAAGCTTTTAAGACCCCAGATGCCACTCACCAAAGTAGGATGCAGAACATTTTCTTAATAAGGTTTATGCGAATTGACCTAGATGTTCCCTGAAAGCATGGTCCCCAAACCCCTACCCCTGCTACTCTGTCCTTCAAAGTGTTTGATTGTATTCAGGAAACTTCTTAGCTTTGGTTTAGTCCAGTTGTGCTGACTTCCCCTGTAATGAGTGCTGTCCTTCCCTTCACCTAAGGTAATTCTTATCTACTATCTAGTCAGTGAGTAACCCTCACCTTCCCTCCCAACCCTCGTAACCATACAAGAATGTTTTCTTCTGTGTTTAAACCTTTTCTTGAGTTCTTATAATAGTGGTCTTATGCAATATTTGTCCTTCTGTGACTGACTAAATTCACTCAGCAAAATGACCTCCAGCTTCCTCCATGTTATGTTTCACAGCTTCATCATTGTTCTTTATCGTATTCCATTGTGTGGATATACCATAATTTGTTTATCCATTCATCCGTTGTTGGGTACCTAGGTTGTTTCCATCTTTTTGCTATTGTGAACAGTGCTGCAATGAACATGGGTGTGCATATATCTATTCGTGTGACGGCTTTTATTTCTCTAGGATATATTCCATGGAGCAGGATAGCTGTATGTATGGTACTTCTATTTCTAACATTTTAAGGAAGTGCCAAATCGATTTCCAAAGTGGTTGTACCATTTTACATTCTCACCAACAGTGTATAAGTGTTCCAGTCTCTCCACAACCTCTCCAGCATTTATTGTTTTGTGTTTTTTTGGATTAATGCTAGCCTTGTTGGGGTGAGATGATATCTCATTGTAGTTTTGATCTGCATTTCTCTAATGGCTAATGATCATGGGAATTTCTTCATGTGTCTGTTAGCCGCCTGAATATCTTCTTTGGCAAAGTGCTTGTTCATATCCTTTGCCCATTTTTTAGTTGGGTTATTTGTCTTTTTGTTGTTGAGATTTTGCAGTATCTTATAGATTTTAGAGATTAGACCCTGATTGGATTGGTCGTAGCCAAAAATTTCCAGTCTGTAGGTTGTCTTTTGACTCTTTTGGTGAAGTCTTTTGATGAACATAAGTGTTTGATTTTTAGGAGCTCCCATTTATCTGGTCTCTCTTCTGGTGCTTGTGCATTGTTACTTATAGTTCGTATTGTGTTTATGCAACGTGTTAGGGCTCCTAGCATTGTCCCTATTTTTTCTTCCATGATCTTTATCGCTTTCAATTTTATATTTATTTTGATCCATTTTGAGTTAGTTTTTGTGCATAGTGTGAGGTATGGGTCTTGTTTCAGTTTTTTGCAGATGGATATCCAGTTATGCCAGCACCATTTGTTAAAGAGACTGTCTTTTCCCCA